GGGGAGAGAGAAGACAGGGCACAGCGTTGGGGATGAACAGGATGAGGTTCAGGCATGGTGAGCATCCCAGGGTCCTAGAGGATGCCTGAGGAAGTATGGGGGGAAAACCAAGTTGTGGGTTTGAATCTGTGTCTCTATTTTAGTTGTAACTTGTTCACCTCATCTTAAATCATATATAAAGATGAGATCATTTATGTGATGAAGGTTTACTCCAATCAGTTCCTTGAACCAGGATTATTAGTTTGGAAATTATAAACCTACTAAGACACACTATTGAATTTTGAACGGTGATATGGGATGTTATTTAATTTGTACCTCATTTATACCTGGACAGAGCAGAGGATGAAAAGTATCAGGGTATTAATAAATACAAGTGACAGTTTTCACAAGAAGTTATAGTGTATATGTTTGCCCTCATGAACAAAAATATGCTGCAATAGCAGAATCTCGAATAAGATGGGGATTAGAAGTATATTTTATTGTTGTATATCATATATTTAGTATATAGTATGTACTATGCATACAATTATAAAGTATATGCAATATGTAGTATATAGTACATGTATATGTGGTACATAAAGGTAAAAGGTAAAGGCCCTCCCGTTGATCGTCGATTTGCTCGAGCGGGCCCAGTAACGTCTCCATTGGAGACTTTGTTGTTACTGTGTTTGGCATATCGAATACTCTCGGTAGCTTGCCAGGCTCTCCGAGAGGGGCGGAGGAATCGAACTCGGGTCGGCCATGTTGGCCGCTTGTAAGGCAAACGCCCTACCGCTGTGCTATCACTCCAGCCCATGTGGTACATATTACATGGTATATATACTGTACATGTTATATATAGCATATATTATAAGATTGGGATCAGTGTAGTACTAATTATAATTCTAATTATATATACTGTATAGTATATAGCATATATAGTATATACATTGTATAAAGGGCTGGAGTGATAGCACAGCAGGTAAGGCGTTTGCCTTGCACGCAGACAATATGGCCGACATGAGTTCAATTCCTCCACCCCTCTCGGAGCGCCTGGCAAGCTACTGAGAGTATCTTGCCTGCACAGCAAAGCCTGGCAAGCTTCCAGTGACGTATTCAATATGCCAAACACAGTAACAAGTCTCATGATGGACATGTTACTGGACCGGCTCGAGCAAATTGATGAATAACGGGAAGACCATGACTGTATAGTATAAGGTATAGAGAATATGTGCACAGTATATAGTGCATATGCTACATATAGTATATATTCATATACCATATATATGAGATAGCTCTGCTATTTGCAAACTGTATGGCCTTGGACAATTGAGTAATATCTACCAGTTTCACATTTGCAAAGATAGCATCCTTCTTGTAGGAGTGTATTTATGAGAAGGGAAAAACTTGATGTACATCTTTGACACAATGCAAACTTTCAGAAAAATTAATATTGTTATAGTATAACAGTTCATTATCTTTTTTTGGACACAAATAAGGATTATATCCAAATTTTCTTATTTTTGCATAGCCATGTGGTTTTGACTTATTTATTTGTTTGCTTTATTTTTTGTGTTTTTATGTCAAGTTTTATTTAGATGGAGGGTTATCAAAACTTTAAAATGTATTCCATGCATTCTTTTATTTCTCGGGATGATTACCAGGTTTGTCGAGTGTATATTTCTCACATAGGCTGGAGCGATAGCACAGCGGGTAGGGCGTTCGCCTTACAAGCGGCCAACATGGCCGACCCGAGTTCGATTCCTCCACCCCTCTCAGAGAGCCCGGCAAGCTACTGAGAGTATTCGATATGCCAGACACAGTAACAACAAAGTCTCCAATGGAGATGTTACTGGGCCCGCTCGAGCAAATCGACGATCAATGGGAGGGCCTTTACCTTTTAGCATACGAAAAGTATATTAAAGAATGTTTTAAGTGTCTAATTTATTACAGTTGACCCTTCAAAGCAATAATATCTGGTCCCACAAAACTGACCTATCTTTTAACTAATAAATTCATGCTGCAATGTATGATCATGATCACGACCATCCTGTTGTTCGTCAATTGCCTTGAGCAGGCCCCAGTAACGTCTCCTTCATCCTAGCCCTGAGATTTTTTAAAAAGTGCCATAGTCAAGGCTATTTCAGGGTTAGGAGAATGACACCCATCATTGTTACTGGTATTTGGCATATTGGGTACGACATTGGGAGTTTGCCAGACTCTGCCATGTGGGCAGGTTACATTCAGTAGCCTGCCAGTTTGTCCAAAGTAGGAATGAGATAATAAGATGTTGCGCGGCCGCGAATGTGGCCACGCGGTTCCAGGAGCTGGGTTTTATAGTCTCTGAGTCTTGGCCGTTGATGGGATTACAAGGCGCCAGGGGGGCCATTTGGTGGGTGTGACCACTGCCTACTGGAATATGGAGGATCTGGGTGGAGGATGCTCAGCCCCGATCCGATCCGAGCAGGCTTGGAGATCTCAGCCCTGGCACCCTCGTGCCTTTGTTCCTCTGCCAGTACCTTCATGCATGTGGAGAGTGGTCTCAGCATGGTAGTGGCTGGTTCTGGAGGTCTTTGGCTGCAAGAGCCCTGGTCGCGGTGGGGAGGGAAACTCAACCCGCTCCCCTCCAAGGGGCCCTGGCAAGGACAGCCAGGCATGGGGGCAGGAGACTCTGCGCTGTTCTCTTCCGGGAGCTGGGTTTTATAGTCTCTGAGTCTTGGCCGTTGATGGTATTACACGGTGCCAGGGGGCCAGTTGGTGGGTGTGACTCCTGCCTACTGGAATATGGAGGATCTGGGTGGAGGATGCTCAACCCCTGTCCGAGCTGACTTGGAGATCTCAGCCCTGGAACCCGCATGTCTTTGTTTCTCTGCCGGTACCTTCATGAGTGTGTACAAACTCATTTTTAAAATTGTCTTTCTAAAGTGATTTATCAAAACTTCATATAATTAGAGATCAATTTATCTAAAAAGATGTCAAGGTGATGTAACCACAAAAAATTTAGGTGAGGGTGATTTCTCCATCTACTACTCTTTGTGAGGGCAAAGTGTAAATATTACCTGGTACTCAAGTTCTTCATGATTTTATTGAGGAACAAAGAGATGAGTATAATGGTAACAGAAAGATATGCTAAAAGAAGCATTGTTACAGAAGGAAGTGATGTGACTTCACAATACTCCTTGATCAAACTACTAACTCTAGGGCTAAGTTGGTGACCTGAGAAAGAAATTGTTAACTTTCTGAAGGGCAAAACGTGTGTGGCTTTCTGTTTTCCCTGGTCCATCTGCAAGTGCTTCTCTCAGAACTCAGAGCCCCAAGCAGTGTCTCTGGTGCTCTCATGTCATCTTTTCTGTTCACTTACAAATTACCAATGAGATCATCATAAATTAGTAGTTCTATGCTCATTTCCTACGGGAATCCCTTGGAATTTCAACTTTAGTCCCCTCAGCCTGGCTAACTGCCAGTGCCTTGTGAATGATAACATCAATTCCTTGGGAGCTCTGAAATTGTTTACTGTTGATTGAGGACTAGAGGCAGTAAGAGAAGCATGTTTCTACATATGGTTCACTGTAGCCATCTTTCTAAAAGTCTAAAAGTTTTCTTGGATGCACTTTTTAAACCATGTAAAGGAAGAAAAAAAATTCTCGGCCCATGAAAGGTGTCCTCTGAGTTTGAAGTTCCTATTTGAGAAGACTTCCAGAAGATCACATTTAGAACTTGGTCATGTTTTAATACTTATAATTTTAAGTCTATTTCTCCTCTAATTAGACCCCCTTAAGTTTGTCTATGTGCAAGCACATGTTCATGCTTACACACATATAGCACATATGTGTTACAATTATACTCATTAACTTTTAAGACTAATACACAGAGTTAGTCTTAAAGTTCTGGAAATTTTTAACCACCTGCCTAGTTTCCACCAGTCTCATAATAAGAAATAAAAAGGCAATCCTTCCTAATAGTGTGTGCAGTGTGCCAATATGGTGTGTGGTACCCAACTTTGTTCTTTAAGATTGAAATCATTTGGGTTCGCAGGACTCTCTGCTCTGAAGAGCAGAAAGAACAGTTTTTAATAACACCTATAGGCAATGGTGGCAAGGATACATGTACACATACAGCATCAGTGCTATGGCAATCCAGGGTGGGAGATGGAGGAAGGCAGAGATGGGTTCATCAGGATTTCCAGTTTGGGGAAAATTACCCATGTGCTGCATAAGGACTAACATTGACCAATCAATACTTCATCCTAGTGTTTAACAAGTGTTCCATTCAAACAGTCTTTAATATTTAACTTCACTTCCTTCAACTTCAATTTATGCACACTTCCTTTGTTCTCTTTTCAAGAGAGCTAGACAATAGCCAGTAACAATGCATTTTATATTAATATATCTAAAGTGACTATTGTTGTGGTTGTTTTGACATGTGTAAGTCTTCCCAGACTAGCAAAGAAAAACAATCTTGAAAAATAATATAGTCACACCCCAAAGGGCCTATTTAATTTTACTGTTTAATAATTAACAAGCTTGGATTTACACTTTAAGTGCTTACTCTTTGGACAGAAATTTAATAATATTGACAATGATGTGAAATCATTTGATTTCTATTTCAAAAAAATTGTCCCCCAACAGAGAATTCCATTAAAATGAAACATTTGTAAAGTGAGCATGAGGATTATTAAAATCATTGATGCCGACAGTAATGTTTATCCATGCCAATCATAAGCATTAGAGATACTTCTCATCACATTTGACTTTTTTAAAAAAGCTCATGGTGTCTATATTTGTATGTAATAGCATTATGAGATAATTCAAAATTTCATATGAATATTATTAGCTGTGGTGTGTGTCACAAAGATGACCTCTATTTCTTTTCTCTGGGCTAAAATGACTTTTTATATGTTCCTACATACCAGACAAAAATTGATCTGCAATACATGTGGAGTCTTCAAGGGTATATTTAAATTTAGTAATTTTATCACTAACTGTGAAGTTAATTTGTGCTGTATGTGTTCTTTTCCCCAGGAAACTGAAGTAGTAGTTCAAGCTAAAAAGCCGGATGTGGAAAGGATTTTGTCTAAAGGGCAGAATTTGTACAAGGAAAAACCAGTCACTCAGCCACTGAAGGTAATGAAGCAACCTCTAGAAATATCCATTTACTTCATAATGGGTTATGCTTCCCCTGCTGTACATTTGCCATTGACGTGGTCTATTTATAATCAATGAAATAACTTGTAAAGAAATATTGGCCATACAGTAATAGCAGAAGTAGTGCTATCTTTTTGATCAACATATCCTATTTATATATTGTGATCTTCAGGCTATTAACAAGTCATTGCATTAAAGAACTCATTTCTGGCCTGGTGTGCTGCCATTGGTACAAAAAGTAGTCCCACCTTCAAAGTAGATTAAATTCATTGAGGCTTTATTGCTTTGCTAGCCAGTCTTTATGCTTTTCATATTGTTTAGCTTAATTCAAATCAAGCTGCTACATCATACTGTCTGTCTCCACCAGCTGTAAAGAATCACAATATGGTCAGTGACCTTTCCTTTTCTGTTTCTTTCTTATGAAAGGAAGAATCAGGGTTTGGGCTCCAGTCAAAGGACTGGTCAAGATTTTTTAGTGAAATATCTTGTAATTGCTTTTCTCTTTGGTAAAAATCTGACCTGAAAGAAAAGCTATCTCCTTTGTTCTCTTCCCCACATACATTTTGAAGTCTAGGCTACATCTATTCCCAGACAACTACATGAGGAGAGAAATATGAAGCCAGTTCACTTTTCAAAACAAGAAAAAGGAACTAATAATGGCTTCATTTGCAAATGTGTGTCCAGTGATATATACCTGTTAGGTATAGGTTACCTTTTATCGGTACCAGACCAAAATGATAATAGTTTCCATTATGATGAAGCTTCCCGAGAGCCTATAATGGTGGCTGTTTATTGATCAGCCTAGGTTTCTCTAGCTAATGTTGCAGGCTGAGATTTAGTGAACCTCACCCGCATGTTTAAAACTACTCTGAAACAGTGCAGGTCAATAACCTCATTATCCAGAACTAGTTTGTCCTTGAAAAAAAAAAACATTACCATGACTTTGACTCTCTCTCTCCTGCTCTTTGATATCAATGCTTATTTCTGGCCCAAGCTCCATTTCTAGAGAATTGGTTTCCCCTACAGTTTAAAAGTGACTTTTCCTTAGGTAAATTTCAGGTTTTAGAATCAATGCAGTGTTTGAGTTTTGGATGCTGGAAGGCATAGATTTCCCCATAGTCATCTTCATTTATTTCCAAAATGATTCTATCATTTTGGTCACGGATCCCAGCTGTATGCGCCAGGAAACTGTCTGCATTTTTGAGTGGATCAAAACTCATTTTGAAACATGACTTTTCTGAAAAGTGATCTATTACTCTTGATAGTGCATGAACAACGCCTGTTTTCATACATCATTTTGAATAAAAAGTGTGCTATTCCTAAGGTCTTTTCTCCTTTAAACTCAAATGTCTTAGCCCTCAGTATATGAAGGAAAGTGTCAAAATAACCAGCAGTCTTTTTTTTATGGAATGGTATATTTTGAAGTCACAAGAATTATGAAGAAGAAAGTAATATTATGAAGAAAATCCCTCTTGATGCATTTGTAAGATCTAGTATTTAAATGGATACTTAATAGGTTCACTACTTGCAAGAATTCTAATTTAGGACACAAGAGAAAATTATGTTTCTATGAAATTGACAATTAAACTCGGTATACAGACAGCCCATTTGTTCAGCTACTTTTTCCCTCCAAAACTTAATCTTCGTTGGTAGTTGGACTCATATTATTTCCTTTCTGTAGTTTAACTTTCTAAAATGATTACATTTTTCTTAATTTTATTCACACCGTCTTTTTTTTTAATTAGTGAATCACTGTAGGGCACAGTTACAGACTTACAAACTTTCGTGCTAGCATTTCAGTCATTTAATGATTGAGTACCCATCCCTCCACCAGTGCCGATTCTCCACCACCAATGATCCTAGTATACCACCTCCCACCACCCCCTCCCTATCCCTCCCCACCCCACCCCATCTCTGTGGCACGACATTCACTTTTGCTCTCTCTTTCCCTTTGGGTATTGTAGTTTGCAATCGAGGCATTGCCTTTGACTAAACTTTTTCTTATTTTCTTTGAGGGCTTTCTGTTTAAGGTCAACTATATGAGAAAGTTTTATTAGTGAACCGGATGTAGAACTAGATTTCTAAGGCAAAATTCTTGGAAACAGGGTAGAATAATATGATTAAAGAATTAGTATCTTCATTTTCTTTTTGCCACCTTTGTCTCTCTCCACAAACCTACATGCAAATAAACACACACATGCACACGCACAAACACACATTTTTATTTTATATGAAGCTTATCTAGGTAAGTCAGATAAATTGTTAAAACATTCTGCTTAAGTTATTTCCGCTAATCAGTTTATAATAATGATGTTGATGGAATAATTTGAATTTGATTTTCTGCAAAATAAGGAATAGATTCAGAGTAATAACATCTTATTTGTGTTGAAAACATAAACAAAGGCCATCAGTTAAAACGTTGTCAATAACTACCAAAGATTGTGTTATTTGGTCTGTAAAATTGTTTTTCAACTCTGAATTTATGTATGTTGATGAAATTTTTTCTACTCGTACTCAGTCTTGACCTCAGAAAACTACTTTTGCTGTTAAACATTTTAATTTTTCACATCTATTATTACTTTTATCACCTTTCCTATATTAGAACTGGGAGAGGAAGTGGGATTTTAAATGTCTCAGTTACTTCATGTTAAGAGGAAACTCGTTGGCTCACTTTGCAAACTTTCCATCTTCTCAAAAAGTCCTATTAACATTAATATAAGAATATGTTTTACCTTCTGCTCTTGAATTTCACTTAAATGACATAAAAAAATAAAATGCCAGAGTTGTCTTCTTCGGTCAGAGGTCTCCAACCCAACCTTTAACACAAAATAATTGCTGTAGACAAATGGTCAAGAGGGCAATTATCATCTTCCAGGCATCATTTCCTAGGATATAAGCTGCAAATGACAGCATCATTAGTCATTTTCAATTACAGTCAATCACAACCAGGGATGTTTCATTTTCCCAGCTGTTTTGTTGTTAATTAACTAGATTAGACTGAGTTTTTCCCCCTCCCAACAAATTTGTTCTACTGCCAACATCAACATCTTAACATTTCCAAAAGCTTCCTTAGGGTTTTTTTCTCTTTTGCCTGCTAATTTTTCACACATCATTCATAACAGGTGTGTCTCTGAAGATTTATATATGGTGTAACCATTGGAGGGGACTTTGTTGTTTGAAATGTTGCTCAATTAAATATGTAACAGTGTAGCCGTGATGACAGTATGTATCGTATAAGTCATCTGTCATGCACATAATCTCATTTACCTGGTGCAACTTTGTAACATCAGAATCAATAGAGGGATAATAGAAGTCTGCTCCCTCCCACTAGTTGAACTAGTCCTTTTGGAGCAATATATTTAATGAACACAATTTCCTGTCAGTGATCATCGAAAATGGTATGAATGCAGTTACATGAAAAAGAATAGCAATACCAGAGATTTTAATAAATAATACATGAACAGCACAATTTTAGAAAACTAAATACAAGTTAGTTTTACAAGGGCAGAAAGTATGAGACTATGAGACATTCAATAAATGCTAGTCACATATGCTTGAATATAAAGAGTCCCACTTTCTCCCTGAGAAGCTAAAATTTATGATAGATATTTGGAGCAACTTGTAAACATAAACATTTTGGAATATGGATGAGATTGTCAAATGTCTAATTTTTTACTTCTTAATTGAACACCACTTCTATATTTGAAATCTCACATTTGATAAAATAGCACACTAACTATAAACATTGCTTTTGCCACACTTGCATGTTGTGGGGAAAAGTTCATTCATACTCTTCATATGTACCATAATTTTAGAGCTCATACTCATCATTCTAATTGATTTCCCATATGACCTTTTTTGAGACCCCTGGAGAATGCTGTTGAAGCTCTATCCAAGAATAAACAGACATCAAGTAGGAAAGGAAAGCTATGGGATCAGAGAGATAGTATTGGCAAAGGCATTTGCCTTGCATAAGAATGACATTGGTTCAGTCCCTGTCACCATCTATGGATCCCTCAAGCACGACCAGGGGTCACTTTTGAGCCCCTGTCCATCCCCAGTTGTGACCCCCCTATATAAAAAGGAAAGGACTATTAGGTTACTGCAGCGGGCATGAAAGAACTCTTGAGAGAATTTGGGGTATCTCAGCAACCACACAGTACAGAGCTTCTTACGAGATTCTGCTTGTTGACTGATTCTAAAATGCATTCAGGAAGTAGAAAACATTTCCAAATTAGATGCAAAGTCAGTGTAGTAATTGGGATTCTTAACATTTAAAAATTGTATATGGTTGTAATGTCACCTTTTACTATTCCATTAAGTTCAGGTGTGTATCACTATAAGTATTCACATAGACTACTTTCATTTCACCAATACAAATTGGGTCTATCCTTCCGCATTCAATTGACTCCTTTTAGCAGATTAATCTACATCCTTTCTTCTCCAAATCTCAACAGTTATTTATTGTTGTTGTTGTTTATCACAGAGGGTAGGGACTTGGACCATAGTCTGCAGTACTCAGAGGGTAACTCCTGACTCTGTGCTCTCTAGGACAGTCCTGGAGGTGCTAGGGATCAAATCAGGGCTATCTAGATGGAAGGTGTGTATATTAACTCCTGTACTACATCCATGACCCTTGACAGGTTGCCATCTGGAAGGTGAGAACTTAAATTTAAAGCAGGCAAGAGCTTAAGGAAGCGTCAATGCCTCATTTTAGTCATTTTTGTGATGGCAGAGTGGCTTTGTCTGTATCAGTTCAGCAATGGCCTTCGGCTCACCCTTTATCTGTCTAGTTTGTGTGGCTTTCAGTTGGGGCCATCACATCTACTTAGATGCCAGCAATCATAAGAGTAATTTTTTCTGTTCTGAATTCTTTCACTGGAATTTTTATCTCAAACCTTTCTGCCTGTTCACAAAATGTCAAGAAATGTTCTTTTTATTTCTCTTCAATGGGTATTATAGATCTCCCATCAGGATAA